CTCAGATGCTGGGTGGGAAATCCCCCTGGTTTTGCTGCATCAGTCCCTACCAGAGCAATCCCACATGGAACCAACGGTATTTTCCACTGGCTCACCTGCCCAGCTCCTCCTCCTGACGCACAGCAGGGCTGCCCTTCCCTGCTCACCATACCCTCCTTCCCTAATCAAAGGCCAGTATGAGAGCAGTCCTACAACAGAAAATGACATTACATAGATCTGTGTAGGGGGTCTTACCTGTGAGCCTTGTTTTGCATTTTCAGGCTTGGCCACCAGCTCAGGCAAATCCTTTCCTTCCCCTCCCCGCAGCACCTTTCTGTGCCAAACGCAACCCTGTGCTCTTGGGCAGCTCCCGCAGTCAGTGCCTACAGCAGGGAATTGGTTTCTCTGCAGAAAGACGGGGGGAAATGCACTTTAACTGGCACTGATGCTGCACAGGGAGAGCCCAGCCCTAGCTGGAGCAAGGTCACCCACCCTGCAATGGGCCCTGGGGACCCAGCACAGTGGGGACCTTGATAAAGTGTCTCCTTATGCTCTGCAAAGCTGAATATTGGCCAGAAATGGCTCTTTGGGACTGCCTGCACATCTTTACACGGGCACACTCGAGCTACTTCATCCCTCCCCTTGGCTCAGTTGTTCCCTTTGGAGCAGGTTTCTTCCCTCTCTCCCCAACCCCAGTTGCTTTGTCCATCCTTAAGTTCAGGGACTCACTGGCACCCCTCAGCAGGCAGAGCCTGGGTGGCTGCAGATGCTCCTGCCTTCCTCTGCCGCATGCTTTGCTTTGGGACAACGTATTTCCACGCATATCCTTGCCTCATTTGCCTTTCCAGCTACAGCAGCCATGCAGGGCGGGTATTTATCTATGGGCAGCTCGAATCCTGCCCTTGCACACATTCCCAGGGTGGGCTGGTATCTCTCCTGACTGTTTATCCAACCAAATATGCAGGATAAAGACCTTGCTTGCACAGGAACACCCAGGAGGAAACTGGAGCCCCACCGGGAGCCATCAGCAAGCAACAAAAGGGCCTTTCAGAGGGGCATTTGATGCCCTGGTACTTGCAGAGGTACCAGGGGCTCATGTTACTCTGTTTTACCGGCAGAAACTGCTCACACTTCACCTGCTCAGAGGTGCTCCCCACGTACGATAAAATCACTGCAAAGCCCAGCCCAGAGCACAGCCACATCCCAGGAATCCTCCAAACCTTTCCAACAGCGAGCCAAACCCAGCGCTCCAGTCACAGCCGTTCCTGGATACCTGCAGCCAGCTTGTCCTGGAGGAAGAAAAGCCCACCCAGGGGAGCCAGATCAGCAGAGCCCCCACATTGCCCATGCACATGAATGAAGTTATCTCATAACAACTAATTATAAGTTATAATGCACCCGGGGGGGGGGAATGCTCAGGTTTCTACTCCCCCCATAGCCCTGCTCCTACAGCCCCAAGCCCCCCTCCATGGGCTGGGGACAGGCTCTTGCACCCTGAATTCCCAGCCCAGGCTCGTTTTCCCAGCATCTCCCATGAGGACACAGAGAACAGCAGAGCCCTGGCTTTGCCCTGGGATGAAAGTCCATCCCATGACGTGCTGCCTCAGACCCCAGTTCCCAGCCCACAGGTGTGTATCGCTCTCTTCCCCATGCCTTGGTTTCTATACCCCAATTTAGAGAGCCCCTCTGTCAGGCTATAGGCTGGGAACCTGTGATGCAAGTGGGAAACACGAGAGGAAAAGCAGCCTCCTGGCAGGCATTTCCACATGCTCCTGCTTCGCACAACCCTGTGCTTTCCCAATGGGAGGATGTGACCCACCAGCACCTCCCTGGTGAGGTGAGAAGCCTGTTGGTGCGGGGAGCGGGTGTCCCCGGGGGCTGCCGGGACATCGAGGTGGTTCCAGTCCAACCAGTCCAACCACCGTGCCAGGTCAGCGTCTGCCTGTTCAAGCACCCGCACGCTTGCAGCCCGGAGAACAGCATAAATAGAGCTGCTGTGGCAGTAATAAGTAACCTGCTGCTTCCTCCTGGCGCCAGCCTCGGGGCTGCTGCAGCTCACCCGCGGTGCTCCGGCTCGCTTCTGCCTTGCCAAAGGCACAGCTTGGCTGGGCAGGAGAACCAGCCCCTCGCTGCCACGAGAGAGGTGAGGAACTGCCTTTGTATTCCTCAGGGCTTCAGTGCTCTGGGTTGTGCCACTGGGAAGTGGCTTGTTCAGGACAAGAGAGGGCTTGGAAATACAGGGTCTGGGGCTTGAGGATCACAGGGCTGGGAGAGGAGAGCAACCGTGGTGTCGTGGCTGGATAGCAAGAGCTGGGCAGAGAGGTTTAATGCAGCCTTGCAGAACTGGGAGCAGATGGTGAGGGATGGCTTGTGCCTGAGAACGGGAGAATGTCCGGAAATCACTCACCATCATCGTCGCACTCCAAGGAAACGTTGCTGCTTGGACATGGGGCCGAGCGCAGTCCAGTGTCCCAGCTGCATGGTGCAGAGCAACTCGGTCTGTGCTGCTGCTGGTGCCTGTGGCTGCCTCTGGTCAGCAGGAAGCTGAAGACAGGGGCTGACGTGGATGTCCCAAAGGCCACATGGGATTCCTGCTGCAAGGAATGCTTCCAGGCACTGCTGCATTCCCTGCAGGTGAGGACTCACACAAAGGCATTTCCAACACTGGCTTCGTACACACAAAGCAGTAAGAGTTGAAGACACCCTGAAAAGGGGTGAATGAAAGCCAGGAATATCTCCACATTTCCAGCAGCCTCAGCAGTGGCCCTCGACACCACTGGGGAGATGCCACCATTCTTGTCGCCCATCACCCACATATCATGACCCACCAACCACACTGACGATCTATTCAGCTACTTGCACATGCAGCTTTAGCTCCTGGATGTAAAACCTGAGCCCAGGGAGGTGACTTCCCCTGCCTAAAGCATGGGGAGAGTCTGTGCCAAGGCAGGAAACCTCCTTGGGACTCATCCCTGCTGCCACCTCAGACTCCCTCCTGATACACCGCTCACTGGTGCATGGTGGCAGCATGACAGGTAACGCACAGTTATAATGCCCAGTGACAGTTACAACATCACCCAAAGACAACACCAGGACCAGCTCAGGCTGGGAAGGAGCACTGCAGTCCCTGTGTGCTCTGCAGGGGGTTTTAAACGAGTCTTTAATGTGACACAAGGCCTTTTAATGTGACTTTAGAACAGACTTTGGAGGAATGCAGAAGTAAGCGCAGAGAGGCAACAGAAAGTAGACTCAGTCACCGTGTGGTGTTGTACAAGACAGCTCATGACAGACTCATCTCATTTGGATTTCTTTTTTATACAAAAATCAGTGCTTTCCTACCCAAAGGTGATGCAGCAGATACAATAATCTAGATACAAAACAATCTAGATATAAAAATCCAGAGAGATTTAAATTAAGCATTTCTTACAACACTTTAAAGGAAAAGTCTTTAGTTGAACATACGAGGGATTAACATGAAGCGGATAGATCTGTTTAAGCAAAAAATTGCCCTAAATCATATTTAAGAAAGAGGTGATGAGGATGAGAGAGGCTCTGCCTCAACGGTCAGCAGTGGGATGTCTGCTGCTTCATGTATTAGTGGCCAAGAAGGCAGAACCAAATTATTTGTTAATGAAATCTATGATTCAGCTTAGGCCAATGAAGGTTTGGAGGGGACTGACTATTCCTTATAACTCAAGGAAACTGGTAAAAAGGGAGAGGTGTTCAGATGAAATAATGGTGCTTTTAGGTGCAACAACCCCGGCACAACGCTGTGCCCTGTTACAGAGCAGTGACATTTTCCTTTCTTGGTCTAAAGTCCTCACCAGGAAACACACTCGTGACTGCACAGCAACGTTATGGGTGCAAAGTGCACAAACACCACGAGTCAGCCCTAAAATAAACACCTCCCCACCGGTCTTCTAGGCTCAGGGAGTGCTCACACGATGGCAGCATCGCAGCACGCTGCAGCGGGGATGCTGTGGGACGGGCCAGGGATGCAGCAGCACAGCAGGGACAGGCTCTCCTTTGGCCCTGGCCTGCCCTCGGCAAGGGGGACAGGCTGTTGGAGGGGATGAAAGCCACCGAGGAGGCCGTTACAGCTCCAGATGATGAGGTGGGAAGCCAACTGGCTCCCAGGAGTGGGTTTTTCTCCCTGTTTCAGACCACGGTGGCTCTTACCTGTTCTGCCTCTGCTCGCAGACACAGGATGATTCTGTTAAAGAAAAAAAAAAAAAAAAGGCTCATTATCCATACCATTTCATGGAATCCCAGAGTGGTCTGCACTGGAAAGGAGCTTAAAGCTCCTCCAGCTCCAACCCCTGCCACGGGCAGGGACACCTTCCACTGGAGCAGCTTGCTCCAAGCCCCTGTGTCCAACCTGGCCTTGAGCACTGCCAGGGATGGGGCAGCCACAGCTTCTCTGGGCACCCTGTGCCAGCGCCTCAGCACCCTCACAGGGAAGAGCTTCTGCCTTATCTCCAACCTGAACTTCCCCTGTTTCAGTTTGAACCCATCACCCCTTGTCCAATCGCTACAGTCCCTGACAAAGAGTCCCTTCTGCAGAATCTAGACACTGGACTAACATTATTGATATTAATAATAACATCCAATCATAAATCAATAATTTATCCACTAACAAGCATTACAACACAAAATCTTCTCATTTCTCTGTCCCACCTGCTTCTCTTGGTCCTCAGTATTACATCTTCCACATCTGAGGAGAACATATGCCTGTTCCCCCACATTCCCAAACCTTTGCTTACCTTAAATCCTTAAATACCAATTTCATCCAAATGAACTGATGGCCCCATCTCTGCATGCAGGTGAAAGCACTTGGCCAGCATCTGGTCCTGGGAAAGAGCTGGTGCAGAAAGATGCAGATCTCTCCTGCATCCCCCCATCACCCCAGGGACCCCTGATTCAGTCAGGGCAAGGGTGATTTGTCTTGTGCTCAGTGCCACAAACAAGCTCAGCCCAGGGTCTTTGTCTGATCAGCAATTAAATCACATGGAATTCCTCCATACTTTAAAATAAGCTTTATTTAGATCTTTTATAATTTTATATTTGCATCCATGCCTTCAAGGATTCTCCCCCACTAACGGGGGGAAAAGTTAAATCTAATGTTACCCATAATTCATATGCTATTTCTCCAAGTTTTTTTTTAAATAAATCATCCTCTTAGTAATTTTTTTAGAATTATTTCCTAATTTACAAAAAAAAACAAAAAAGAAAAAGCTGAAATGCAAAAGGAAACTACTGGATAACACAGAGGTTGCTCATCTGCTCAGGTGGCTGGTACTTTAAGTTACAGAAACTCAAGGAGAACCAAACCAACAAACCCCCAAAACATATAAAAACGCTTCTCTGCAGAGAAAGATGCCATGGGGCAATCTCTGCCCTGCAGCCCCACGCTGGTCCCTCACTCCCTCCCTCCCCATGGCCTCTCTGTAACATCCCGGTAGCAGGAATCCACAGTGCAAGGGCATCGGCAGTTCAGTTCGGTGATTTAAGACAAAAATACCCCTCTTTGTTTTCAACCAGAATGGGAATCAAGAAAAATAATACACTGTTACAGCATCATTAAATAAATCTTAATACATTGTTTTGTTTTTAAGAGCTTAAAATTATATCGTAAGCATTAAAGCATAAGGTACTTATCTTGGCATAAGCAGAGCGCGGCGCATGTTAGTGGAGAGGGGAAGCAGCCGCCGCGCTGGGGGGTGGTTTTGGGGCATTTCCCAAGGGATTTGGAAGCACAAGTTGGCCTTTGTGCTTCAAACCCACCCCGGTGGGGACTCGTACCGATTGCCCCGTCCCCCCACAGGCAGTTAACACCCCAAATGGGAGTGGGGTGGCCGGCCCCATCTTGGGATATAGGGATATCTCAGGATATCCCCTTTCCCCTGCTCCCAGCTCACACTGGATTCCCAGATTGAAGCAAAGGGTGAGCCCCCAAAAAGCAAGGAAAAACAGCGGGCAAAGCCCCCACCAGCTCCCCCCCATCCAATTTCCTGGCATGTGTTTAGGTTTGTGTTTTCCAAGGCGTTAAGTGCTCCTGGGGCATCTGCGGCCGTGGGGCCATGGGAGCCTGGAGGGGGGTGTCCATGGCTCCAAGCTCCCCCGGCAGCAGCTTCCCAGGACAGTACAGTACAAACACCCCCTTCCTCCTCCCCGCCCCATCCCATCCGACGTGGAAAAATATAAAAACTCCCCAAACTTCTGCAATAATTTAGTTAGAATAACTCCTCTGGCTCTGTGCAAATAAATTAAAACAACGAAAAGGAACGTTCAAACACTTCTTTCCAGACCGGCAGGCGTTAACATCCAGCCCGGGTCACCTCCGTTGGGGGCCAGGAAGACATCACAGCACATGAGAGATTCTTCTTCTCCATCTATCTTGTGTGTTTGCTGTCTGAGGTCCCTCAGCTGAGCAGGTCCTTCATCCCCAAGCGAGGACATCCCATGGGCTGGGCTCCGGAGAACAGCGGGTTTGGGACAAGAGACGTCACAAGCACAAAGTGCACAATATTTCTGGTATTTACAGACACAGCAGTCCTTCAAGTTTCAAGTTTTGTCAAAAGAAGGAGGAAAAAAAGAACAAAACCAACCAAGCAACAAAAAAAGGCAAAACTTAACCCAAAGTGACAAACTCAAGCGACAACAAAGGAGTTACTGGTATGGGGGAAAAAAACACAAGAGAAAAGGCCAAAACTGAAGTTACGACACAGCTGCATCGCTCTCAAGACAACAGGTAACACGTCCACAGGCGGGGCTGGGCTGGGGTATGTACACGGGTGATGGCGAGGCCAGGGAGAGGCTCGCCCAGCACAGGGGGTCACCAGTCCGCATCCTCCTCGATGTAGTAGTCGGGGGCCGTACCGTCGAAGAGGCCGGGGTCGAGGGACTTGCGCTGCTTTCCCCGAGCGAACACCCTGGAGATGGAGCCGAAACCCATCTTCTCTTTCTTCTTTTTCCTCTTTTGGTCTTCTAGGTCCTCTAGAGACTGCAGGGGGAGAGGGGCAGGTTTAGGTACCAGGCTTTTCGTTCACTGCCACGCATCAGGGATGATGGATAACGGGCTGGGTCCCAAAAATACTCAGGTCCAGATCCAAAGCGATTATAGAATCCCAGACTGGTTTGGGTTGGAAAGGAGCTTAAGATCATCCAGTTCCAACTCCCTGCCATGGGCAGGGATACTTCACACTAGACCATGTCACCCAAGACCCTGTCCAACCTCGCCTTGAACACCACCAGGGTTGGGGCATTCACAGCTTCCTTAGGCAAGCAATGCTAAGGTTCTGGACCAAGAATAAAAGTCATATTCCTGAAATGTATGGTGGCCCCTCCCCACATTTCCAGGATTTTGGCTTCTTAATTCAACTGGTTCAGGATTTCAGCTCCAGGAATGTAAGGGGCTGTGCATGGCTTGCAAAAATACCCAGTATTTGAGGGTCAAATACAGAAGAACAATCTAATCCAGGCTGTGCCTTACAACAATTAAGGCCACGATATGCCCTAATCACAGTGACCACCTATGACATTACCTAGATTTTGGGGGAAAACATGGAAATCTGGGACAGCCCAGAATTATAATTTAGGATAGCACAAATCGATGCCACCAAGCACCCCCAGAAGTACTTGCTAGCACAGGAAGGGTCTCATGAGCGAGAATTTAAGCAGAGATTTGTGCCCTACCTGTACGATTGGGTTGTGCAAGTTCTTCTGTACCGGTCCAGGACTGTCCCCCTGCAGCAGAAGGAGATGGATACAAATGAATCAGGCCCAAACAGGCCAGGACCCCCCACCTCAGCAGCAAAACCCATCTTTTTCTGGCAGCTGAATCAGTGTGGGGCTGGGATAACCCCCCAGGGAAGCAGCTCTCCAGATCAGCAAACCTCCATCCCACGCCCACCCCAAAGCCAACATCGTGTTGGGAAGCAGAGGACCACCAGCATCCCCCAGCAGGAATAAGCCTCCATCACACGATGCCTTACGTTGCAGAGCGAGTGCGTTCGATGCCGGGGGGAGTTGATGTCGCTCGGCGTGGATGAGCGGTCGCCCTCGGCTGCGGAGGCATCAGAGATGATGGACGGCTGCCGGGAATGACAGGGGCTCACTCTGACTGCTGCAAGGCAGAGGAGGCATCAGGGAGTTACCATCACACTGGCAAAGTTGGCACCGTGCAAAGCTGCTGCTACCCTCTAAAAACCCTGGGTGCATTTTGCCTATCTTTTACTCCATGCAGGAGTAAGGCAGCTCCCCAAAACGGGTTTGGCCCCTCACCCTTCCATCTCTGCTCTGGATTCAGGCTGAGAGAGCTGGGCTGGTTCAGCCTGGAGAAAAGAAAACTCCTTAAAGAGAGACCTTAGAGCAGCTCCAGTGCCTAAAGGGGCTGCAGGAAAGCTGGAGAGGGGCTTGGGACAAGGGCCTGGAGGGACAGGCCAAGGGGAATGGCTTTAACCTGCCAGAGGGGAGACTGAGATGAGCTCTTAGGCAGAAGCTCTTCCCTGTGAGGGTGCTGAGGCGCTGGCACAAGGTGCCCAGAGAAGCTGTGGCTGCCCCATCCCTGGCAGTGTTCAAGGCCAGGTTGGACACAGGGGCTTGGAGCAAGCTGCTCTAGTGGAAGGAGGTGTCCTTGCCCGTGGCAGGGGTTGGAGCTGGAGGAGCTTTAAGGTCCCTCTCAGTCCAAACCAGGCTGGGATGCTATGAACTTGCCCTGACCCATGCTGGGTGCTCACCTTGCCGGTCTGCTGAGTGCTGCGGGTGCGAGTGGTAGAGGGTCTGCTGGCTCTGCCGTATGGCGGCCGTCAGCGGGAGGTCAGCCTGCATCACCCACTCCTGGTTGCCGTTCAGCACCGTCTCGCCTGGCATGGCCAAGGAATGGCGCTTGGGAACGTCCTTGGTCAGCGTGGCAAGGGACTGCTTGGCCTAGGGAAGGACATCGAGGCCGTTGTGGTGGTGGAAACCCATGTGAACATCACCCAGAGCAGCAGAACCAGCAGCAGCACAATGCCCCAAACCCACCCTTCCCCTTTGCAAAGAAACACACAAATTGTTTAAACTTAAACAGGGTTTAAACTGAAACAGGGGAAGTTCAGGTTGGATATAAGGAAGAAGCTCTTCCCTGTGAGGGTGGTGAGGCACTGGAATAGGCTGCTCAAGGAAGCTGTGAATGCTCCATCCCTGGCAGTGTTCAAGGCCAGACAGAACCTTGGGTGCCAAGGTGCAGTGTGAGGTGCCCCTGCCCACGGCAGGGGGTTGGAACTGCATGATCTTAAGGCCCCTTCTAACCTAAAGCAGTCTGTGATTCTATGATTGTGTTGCTCCCAGCACTGAGGATATCCAGTTCCTCTTTAGTGATGGACTTGTTTTCTGCCAGTGTTGCAATAATACAACCCCTGCAGGACCAGCTCCTGCAGGAAATGCACACGTACAAGCACTGCAACAAGCACTTAGATTCAACACTGCAATAAAGATTTAACTTTAGCAAAACTTGCTGGTGTGTTTCAAGCACTTAAGCTGCTGAGCTGTGACCCTCGAGTCCTGCCCACTGTGTTACCAGGCTCACCATGGCCAGCTCAGCCTCCAGCTCCTTCATGCGGTTGTCTTTCAGGTCGAGCTGGGAGCGGAGGGCGCTGGCGTGGTCCGTCGCCTCCTTTGCTTGCCGCCGCAGCTCCCACTTCTCCCGTTCCAGGAGATCCTTCTCCTTCGCCAGGGCTTTCACCGCATCCTCACTCTCCTGCAGGAACATGGGGAAGCCATCAGGAAGGGGAAACCCATGGGGTACCACAGACCACTGTGCCACAACCATCTGGGGGATGCTCTGGCTGTTTACGGTGCCAAAGGGCGAATGGTACCTTCAGGTACCGTAAGAGCCCTGCGCTGACAGAAGCAGGGCTCAGGGATGCAGCAGTGATCCAGACAGGGATGCCTGCTACGCAGCTGGTTAAAATGACATGGAATTTCCCAGGTCTGGTTCACTGGCCTGATTTCCTCCTGTATTTATTTATCCTTAACCTGCCGCAGTGCAGCCCCTGCATGAGGGGAGCATCTGCCCAGTTACAAGAGACAATCTGGGGCTCTGGTGGGTTTCGGCTGACTTCAAACCAGGTTTCATGCTCACCAGTGCCACCAGCCCAGGGTGTTGGGCTCCCACACTCACTTTCCTGTGCTGCTCGTAGTTCCTAATGAAGTCACGGAGCTGCTCCTCCCGGCTCTCCAGCGTGGCATAGAGCTGCTGCATCTGGCTCACCAGGTCTGTCTTCTCCACCTTCAAGCGCTTGCGGTCGGCTTTCATGGCTGTGGGAGAGACAACAGCTCAAGCACATGGACACAGCAGCCCCTTGCATCCACCTATTAGGTTATTTGAGGAGAAAGTACCAAAATTATAACCCCAGGGGCTGGGTGCAGGTGAAAATTCATCTGGATGATGAACGCCCCCAACATGCCCATCACATCACTGCTATGGCCCCTGATCATCACCCACCCTCCAAGGGACAGCTCAGCCCTTGAAAAAGCAGATTCAAAGCAGGTTGAAGGAGGGGATCCTGCCCCTCTACTCTGCTCTGTGAGACCTCACTTGCAGCACTGTGTGCAGTTCTGGTGTCCTCAACATCAGAAGGCCAGGGAGCTGTTGGAGCAAGTCCAGAGGAGGCCATGAGGATGATCAGGGGCTGGAGCACCTCCCGTATGGAAACAGGCTGAGAACACTGGGGCTGTTCAGCCTGGAGAAGAGAAGCTGCGTGGAGACCTCAGAGCAACTTCCAGGGTCTGAAGGGGGCTACAAGGATGCTGGGGAGGGACTCTTCATCAGGGACAGGACAAGGGGTGATGGGTTCAAACTGAAACAGGGGAAGTTCAGGTTGGAGATAAGGCAGAAGCTCTTCCCTGTGAGGGTGCTGAGGCGCTGGCACAGGGTGCCCAGAGAAGCTGTGGCTGCCCCATCCCTGGCAGTGCTCAAGGCCAGGTTGGACACAGGGGCTTGGAGCAAGCTGCTCTAGTGGAAGGGGTCCCTGCCCGTGGCAGGGGTTGGAGCTGGAAGAGCTTTAAGGTCCCAAACCAGTCTGGGATTCTGTGATCCAGGAACAAAACCACTGCCAAAGCCTCAGATCCCGGCGCAGGAAAACCTGCTGCTCCCTTCCAGGATAAATAAACCACAAGAGGTTTATTTTTAGCAGTGAGGCAGATTCCAGCAGCGCTCCCACGAGCTCAGGGCATGGCTCCCTTCCAACTTGAGGATGCTGCTGCCTGGGGATGAGGGGAGTCAGGATACCACAGCATGGGACCAAGACCTTCATGTTTCCCCACTTCTACGCAGGAAGAATTCCAGGAATACCATGTCAGACAGGGGCTTCAGCAATATCTGCACATTAACTGTTTGGCCCAGACTTAAACTTGGTCCTTGGCAGCACTGTCCTGTGGCATCCTGCTCCAGATACATCCCACCAAACCCATACCCAATTTCGGAATCAGAATACAAATACTGCTTTTCATTCCAGTACTTCACATGCTTTTCCACCCTGAGGAAGTGCTGCTCTTGAGGGGGTGGGATGGTATGAAACACCCTCTGCCCCTCCAACACTCCCTGCACTCAGTGCATTGCAATTTGTCCCTCTGTATTAAAAGAAGTATACTAAAAGCCTCAAACTCACCAGAAAAGCCATCCCCAAAGCCACCAAGAGCTGTCTGTACTACACAAGTCACCAGAAGATGACAGCACCATCATGAGTGGAACCCACCCCCAGGTACAAGCACAGGTCCAACCTATTCCTATTAAAGAAACCCACACCAAGTGTTTCAGCCCTCACTGCATTCCTACCCCATTCCCATAACAAGTCACTTCACCTTGGTATTAAACCCCACTATAACGTGCCTCTGAGCCCCTCCTTATGTGAGATAAAAAATGGACTAAAGAACATAGGAAAACCATTATCATTACATGCTTAAAAGGAAATCAGTTTCCTTTGTGCAATGAGCACCTTTGGTATCTTTGGCTTCATGGTTCTGCCTTCTCCCAGCACAGGAAAGCTTGCGCCTGGGAGCTCTGCTCCCACTCTCCTATATGTGGGAACCCTTGTCCCTGCCATCTACTTTCTGTTAAATACTCAATAAAAAGCACTTTAAAAGCATTTCCACCCACACAGAAGCAGGGGGAGCGGTGTCATTAAACGTGCACTGCAGCCACCAGGCTCGTTACAACAAGGAGGTATTGACTCAGGTAGGAGCCTTGTTCTGTGCACAGAGAAGATGCAAAATAAAGCAAGTGCTTGTGATAGAGCCAGTAGGAAAGGGAGAGGATTTGCAGGTTAGCAGAGGAAAAGGTGTGGGGGAGAAAATCAGACTCAGTAGTGGAAGAAAAGGGAGATGTTTGGGACAACAGAGGTTTTTATCTGTTAAAACCCAGATGAAATTCTCTGGACCAACGTTAAGAGCCAAAACACAGAAAACAATAAACCAGTGAAGAAACGTCCTAACAATTCACGCTGTGCCATGACAGGGAGTGCTTGTGACTCTTCCACATCCATGAACATGACTCCTCCAGGGACAACTCAGCCCCTTCCAACATCAGGACTTGCCTTATTTTCTTCCCAGCTTGGGTAATCACTACAGAACCCTCTAAAAATAAGCACACAGGACAACATGGAAGTTTATAGCAAAGCCCTTTCCCACTGCTCGTGTGTGTTTAACAGCCACCTCCCCTGCTCGGTTATTTCACAGGACCTCAAAACTTGTTGAAACACAAGAACTACTGATAATTTGACTGAGCCACCCTGGGGTGAGATGCAGACCCCCCAGAGAGCAGTACGTGACCACACCGGCCATGGCCTGAGGACACATTAAGTGATTTGGCCTCTCAAGGTGGAATTTCTGCCTCCCTTAACCCTGGTCTCAGACCTGTCCTGGTAGGACAACACACTGCTAAACCCACTCTATTTTTAAGCATTAAACGCTTTACAACACATAAATATATGCATTTTTAATTTCCTTGAGGGCACTGAGAGGCTCTTAGGACAGTTTAAGTCACATTTGCACTCTCGTATGCTGGAGGCAACAAGAGGCTCCGAATTAATTTCATCAAATAACAAGTCCCCTACAGCATACAACCTGCTTTAATCAGTGGTGGCATCCTATTAGAAGAATACACAATGTCTCCAAAGGTTGACTATTTATCAGCATTCACACCAACCAGTGCTGTGAGAACATGATGGACCTTGGGTATTGCAAGAGCAGGTTTTTCCCTATTAACCCCACAGGACACTTCACCACTTATTTCAGTTCATATCTGAGAGATGTGTTAAAATTAACACACTTTTTCCTCCTATTACCATTGCTCTCCCTCCTCCGGAACCCATCAGCTCCTGAGCTTAAAGAAGATTTATCCACCATTGGAGACCTTAATTTCAAACCCAATTAATAGGAAATTAATTGAAAGAGGCAGGAAGAAAACAGAAAGTTAGGCAGAATTGAGCAGCTGGGGCTGCCAGCGACTCCGTCAATGAGCCTGGTGCAGCAGCTTCATGTGTTCCTAGCGAAGAAGCCCAGCTAATTACTTGGTGGGGAAAAAGAGCTATTGCAATCCATGGCATGACAGAAGGGGCAGTCAGGGAGTAAGAAAGGAGTTTTTCACTGCCCATCAGGGCCATCCAAGGAAGTGAAATGGGTTTTTTCCTTTCAATCTGATGCTCCAGGGCAGGTTTCTGTACCCCAACCCCCAGGAATACCTAAATACACTTTCCCACAGCTCATCTGCACTGTGGGCTCTGGCAAAACCTCTGACCTGTTCATAAACCCAAGACAACAAGAGAAATCAGAAATCCTAACCCCACACCATGAGTAGGAAGCATTTATCTTATCTGCATTATTCATTTCCCCTCCCAGCCGAAGCACACGGCTGATGGAGAGTGTGGTCCTACCAGCACCAGCAGCAAGTGATGGGAGAGATCCCATTGATCCCCTGGACTCAGCACCAGCCCCAGCAGCAAGCAATGGGAGAGATGGGTTGGGAATGCTGGTGTGAAACCCCCTCAGCTCTCACACCCCCCTCCACGTGCCCACAATGCAGGCACTGCACCATTAGTCCTGTGGGAGGTCGACCTGCACTCCTGTTACTTGAGCTCCCACCTCCTGCCATAGGATCTGTCTCCTAGAGCAACACTCCTCAAGGAGAAGGATGCCAATGATGTGACATGCTCTGCACTGGGTTCCTTTTGAGGTCCCCCCCTCCAGCACCTTCGGTTTCCAGCTTTACTTAATGAGCCACATTCTAATCACTCCCAGAGCATGGCTGAAACCACCCAGTGGTGTCCCCACTGAAGGCACCACCACTCCATGACCCTGCCTGGCCTCAACATCAAACAGCTTCTGGACAGTAGTTACTGCATGCTAAAACCAGGCATCACCCCCACCAAGCCGGGGGCTGCTATAGACACCAACACCCCCTTCAATATTATTAATATTAGATTAAGGGAACATGAGGGGGTGATGGTCACACCATCTAGCCCAGGTTTGCCTGGAAGGCATATGGATAATGCTTAGTTTAACTGCCTTGATAATGTGATACTAGATGGAAAATTGCAATGTTCAGACCATAAAAACAGCATCTCTGCCTGGCTTCCTGCTCCTGGGATGAAGCGGCAGAGCCCAAACACAAGTGAGGGCAATGGCAGTGGATGCAGCCCATCTCCAAACCTCTTGAAGAGTGGCTCCCTATGACTCCCAACACTTGTGAGTACTTCTCTTGCCCTGTGCAAGGTGGATTTTGATGACAGGAACAGGACCAGAGCTGACTTTATCACTTACTGAATCATACACTTATTTTCTAACATGGGGAAGGCATCCTCAGGGGCACACCGCTCAAGCCTCAGTGATGCCCCACGCCATCCTGTCCCATTAACATTCATTTAATTTCTCCTGTTTCTCTATTCCAACCATGAAATTCAATATTGTCACTATGACTAAGCCATAAAATCGGTCAGCCCTGTGCAGGAACTACAGCACCACTCCTTGCTTTGTAATGGAGCAGGCACATGCAGACATCACCATCTGCAGAGAAGATCTTGCCACTGAAGATGTCAGTGTTCCGCAGCATCAGACAGAGCAGCGCTTGCTTCGGGGCGTGCAGAGCTGTGATGCAGGCAGGAAACCCGAGCACAGTGTGGAATGTCAGGAAGAAATTAGGTGAGTCATTCACTTTGGGGGAATTTACCTGGAAACACCCTGCTGCAAGGCCAAGAGCTTTCCAAACCTGACCCCAACAGGCAACGAGGTGGTAAGGGACTTCTGCTGGGAATTTAAGGCAGGGATTCAAAGGAGTAGAATAGTTTTTCTGTGCAGAGCCCCATACCCTTTTGGTGGAGAGGGCTTCCTCAGCTGGGTCCATGGCTGGACACCCACCAGGACACCCATCCAACCACTTCTTTGCTACCTACCCCCCTGCTGCAGCCAGCCAGGGGTGCTGGGGATTTCTGTAAGAGACCTGTCCCAGCCCAAATGCCATCCCCATGGAGTGTGTGTGTGTGGGGGTGTCACAGCTCCGAGCCATGAGTTTGGGAAGGAGGAGATAAGGCTACAGCCCATTTGCAGAGCAGATGTCGGTTCACGCCTTCCCGAGCAGCAGGGAAAGCCAGCCTGAGGTCTCTACCTTGGCATTCAAAAAGTAAACAGGAACCAGGTTTGCTCTCCACACGATAACCCTGCAGGCGAGCCCCAGCATACTGGATAAACCTTCCTAGAAATGGGGTTTCTGCCATCAGCCCACATGCTCATAGATGTCACCCAGCCAAGAGGCTCCTTGAGCCCTCCAGGCACTTGGGCACGGTCCCTTGCCGCAGCAGGACCAGCAGTAATAAAGCTGTCTACAACTTCTCCCATGCGAGATCTCTGCATCAGGAAGCCAGACCACATCCATACCTTTCCAGCTAGGGAAGAAAATAACCGCATTAACACTGTAAGCACAATCTAAAGTCCCTGTCCAAGCACAGGCGAGGAGGATGACAGGATATAGCACTTTGGGATTTTATTTGGATGATAACTAATTAAAAAGAAGGGCAGGAGATGGAATTAGCCTAGAAAACAGTGCAATAAAGCTGCATTAAAGCACATGCTGTCAGGGACACAAAAACTGCTCAAGTTACTCCTGCAGAGCATCCTGTGCTGCTCCAGACCCCTGCTCCCTCCCTTCACAGCGAGGGCTTGTTAGTATGGCACAAGGAAGACACTGTACGGGCTCCTCGCCAGCTCTACCCTGTGCTAAATGCTGCTCGAAGGAGCTGGAAATGCACTGCTGAGAAGGGAAGATGAACTCACCTCCTCCATCCAGACCATCACAAACCAGACCCTGTGCAGAACGAAGGCTGTTAAAACTATGGGAGCCCTCAAAAGCAAACCCCACCGGCAAACCCTCTCTGCTTCCCTCTGTGCTAAGGCACGGCGAGAGCCAATATTCATCTGAACTGGCTGCGCCGCGCTTCCAGGCTCGGAGCCAGCAACAGTGACAGATTTCCATACAACTTGTCTGCTAATGATATTACACAGGACCCAGCACACTGCTGCAGGTGCAGGGATGCTGCAGCCGATGCTGCCAGGCACGGAGCATCCTTCAGCGAGGACCTTTAATGCTATGAGGAGGGAGCTGCTCTTGGGAGATGCTCTCTGGCTGCGGGACACGACCACACAAAGCCCTGAGCTGCAGGACAGCATGGTCAAGTTTTCCTGAGCTCCTTGCACCACCTTAACATAGAGTCATTACTTTCCCAAGTGCCTCTCTCAGCAGATATATTTCTCCTGGCACAACCATGCGCCAGGCGCAGTCACGGCCATTTTCCTCCCCTTTTGGCTAAGTTTCTCTAGGAACAATGTTCCATGGAAAGGAAAAAGGATTTTCTTACTCCTCCAGCTGCTGATCCTGCTTCCACATCACCCATCTCTGTATCTGCTGCCGTGTTAAGCCTGCTCTGCTGCCCAGTGCCTCCGGCCCAGATCCAGCACAGAGAAAGAGCTCTTCCTACTTACAAAAAAGCTTTCCAATATTGGAAGGGATGGAAGAAGCATCAATTCAAATACACTTCTTGTTATGTCCCTTTCCAAGAGCAAGCTGAGATTCCTACTTCCCAGCCATTCACACCTGCAGAGAAGTCCTGGAAAACTAATCCCAGTGGCTCCCAGAGCGGCCAGTAAAAGCCTAATAAAACCCCAACATGGTATTCCTGTAACACACACAGTTCTCAAGGCAAATTCACTCTCTTGCACTACCCTCCACAGAAGCGTGTGTGACCCTATTGCTGCTTCTTAGATGACTTAGTCTTCCTTTTTTTGCACTCTTTAAATAGTTCTGCTTTTCATTTTATCAGCACTTCCCCTCCCTGTCCACAACAGCAAATATTCTCTAATTAAGGTTTTTCTTCTCTAATTACAGTTGGATAAAGCCAGAACATTTCCTGCTGCCGGAGGCTGCACTGGGGGCATGAGGAGGGGAAGAGGAGCACTGAGATTGTGAAGATATTTTGGTTGTTGCTGATTTTTTGCTTTTATAAATCAGAGAGCAACAAAATCCAGTCTTCTGAACTCCCCTCCCCAATTCCCTGTTTTCCCCACCATGCATCCCGGATGGAGATGTGTTAGGCAGGGGCTTGCCCTCCGTGCAGCTCCTCATGTGCTGCTCAGCCTCTGAGCCTGAAAACTTCTGACAGCCTCTCTCCATAATCCACAAACAGGAGCTGACAAGTGGAAGTTATACTCGGTATGTTGGGGATTTGATATGATATTTAGAGCCGCGATGCTGCCAGCGAGAGGTTTCCCTTGCTCAGGATCATCCCCCAGCTCCAGCTAACAAACCATCCTGCCCGGACTCATTGTCAGCTTATTTCTGGGGACAAAAAGCTGCAATGTTGCATTTTGCTCTGTTCACCCTGGAGCTCACAGACAGCTTGCAATGCAGTTGTTGGCAAGGGAGGAAGAGTATGGCACCGGCCACCACAGGAAAACAGCCAGATCAATGCATGAAGAAAGGAGGAGCCCCTGCACACCTCACTTGGAGACCCAGCCTAATAACTCCAAGTAGGGTAAGGAAAATTGCAGTCACCAGCAAACTCACTGCTTACCTCCTACAAGTCCAAGGGGCTCAAATCCAACCCATCCCCTCCTTGCAAACGTCTCCAGCTGCATTTCAGCTGCATTCTTGGCTCTACTCTATAGCCAGCCATGAAGGAATTCCTTTGCCATGCTGCAACACCCTCACACCCTATTTCCCTGCCTGTCATTGCACACTGGTACATCCTGGCTCCACACTACCCCTTCACCAGTGCAGGACAGTGTGGGGGTCCTGGGGAGTGCTGCTCTGCAGCCAAACCCCCCCCAGTGCACACAGCAAACACACCCCACATGCCGAGCTCATGCAAAGCTTATGCAAAGTCCTCATGCAAAGCCTGGCTTTTCCCTCCCTCTTTAACTGAAGCTTTGGGGTGCTGGGGAGAGGTGTGAGGAGAGGGATGCGCAGCTCTTACCCTGCAGAGCCTCCTTGGCGCGCGCCAGCTCCTGCTCCTTCTGTGCCAGCTGCACCTTGAGCTCGGTGGCCGAGAGCACCTCCGGTGACTTGCTGCCGTGCGTCTCCTCCAGGTCCTTCGTCAGCATCTCCTTCATTTGCCGGAGCAGGTGAACCTCCTCCTGCAGCTGAGCCACCTCCTCCCGGAGCAGCGCTGGGGGAAGAGCAGACACAATGCAAGGAAGTGACCAACAGCTCCCGGCACAGCCCCACCGCAGGCTCAGCCCCAAGGGAAGCGCTGCTGGGGTGACTCCCCCCAGCTTGCAAAGCTGCTCTGCACAGCCCAAAGCCTGCAGCACACCCCGGGACCACAGGAGGAGGAGGAGGATGTGATGAGGAGGCACCGGATAGGGAGAAGGGAGCTTCTGCTGGGTACTGGTTTCTGGTTTGATACACAATAGTAATAGCAATAATAAACTGGTTTAAGGGTGCTGGTTTAATACACAATAGTAATAATAAACAAAGAACCACCTCCCCATCCAAACCATTCACAGACAGTGCTCATATGGCCAGTGTCCAATGGAGGCTGCTGAGCTCCACCATGCCCCATACAACCCACGTCAGCTCTGCCTCCAGCCATCCCTGTTCAGAACTCAGTAGAATCCAAATAAACCACTCTGAGGGTGGAAAGGGAAAGATGATGCTTTCTCCTGCAGACCTGAACCTTGAATATCTCACATTCACACCCACCGACTGCTACACTCCTTGAAGCAACTGCACTGCAGGAGCAGCCCAGCGTGGACCCCTCTGGAAAGCTCCACTGACCTTGTTTCCTACAGTTGCACCCACTGCTTAGGTAATAAAGTGTTTTCCTGGATTTTCTGCCTTATCTCCAACCTGAACTTCCCCTGTTTGAGTTTGAACCCATCACCCCTTGTCCTGTCGCTACAGTCCCTGATGACAAGTCCCTCTGCAGCATCCTCGTAGGGCCCCCAAACCTTGTTTCTCAAGTCTGCACCATACCGATGGATGTGGGGAGAAGAATAAACCCCTCAGCACACGTTACAGTTGCCAGAAAAATCAAGCAGAAATACAAAATAAATGCCCCCTCTCCAGTTGGGTCCTTTCCCCATGTATCAGCCAGCCTGCGGGATGCCACCCAGGTGTGAAATAGAGGGGTTTTAACCTGCATATTTGCTATGGTCCCTCCACACAAGTGCTGGGCTGGTTCCATGTGGAGGTGATGCTGACAGCAGGACAGGGAGAGGCAGCTCCCCCCAATCTGGCCAGCAGCTGCACCAGGAAAGCATAAAATCTGGTTTGCATACTTGAAATGCTTCCCGTCGGAGCGCTGGCAAGGCCCATGCTGCAAATTATTTAGCAATAAAGTCACTAATGAAGAACAGTCCAAGCTCCAGGCGGTGGATTTCAGTGCAGCCCCGATGTGCTGGCTTGAAACCCATGCAAGAAAGCAGCAATGGAGAAGTGGCCAAAGCCAAAAGCATCTACCCCAGGGACTGCAGCAATGCTGCTTCCCTTCCAGCCCTTGGGAAGCCCAAGGAGGGTGTGAGGGGTTTGAACATGGTGCGACGTTTACTGTGCAAAAGCCACAAAACACCAGTGGCTGCCACTAACTGCTCATTTTCTTCACCCCACTGATAATTCATGTTCACCTTCTGCTACAAGCGGCCTTGCTCAGGGGATCCAGTGGGCTATTCCCAGGGAAATGATTAACCAGCAGAGCAGGATGGACACGGGGCAGTTTGTATAAGGGTGACTGATCCCAGGGGATTTCTGCAAATTGCAGCATTTCAGTGGGAACCAAGGAAAATCCCCACCTGGGAGAGACCCCTCCGTAGAGGGAACAGGGCAAACCAGCCTAAGGAAAGGCAGCTCAGAGGGGATTTTTGCAGCTGAGAATCTCAGAGGAGTCTTTGGGCATGGCCCGAAAGCAGTTGCAGAAACTTCTTACAGGTCCTCACTATAGAGCACTGCACAATGCAGCTTCCTTGGAACAACATCACTCCCTCTGGTCCCACAGCAGTGGTTGGAACTGGATGAGCTTTAAGGTCCCTTCAACCCAAACCAGTCTGGGATTCTCTGACTCTAACAAGGCAATTTAATCCCCAGTTTAGTACTTGCCTCCCCATAGAGGCATGAACTAGGGAAAGATTAAAATCCAAGGTCTATAGAAGCTGTAGGTGCAGCACCATGCTCCCCACGCCACTGGATGCACTTCGGCTGCAAGCCAAAGCCTATGGAGAAGCCTGAATTATTGAGCTCAGGATCAGTCAGATACCTGAGCTTCTTCCTTTTACAGATATATAATTTAAGCTACATCCATATCTATACAAAAATAGATTGTGCTTTCCAATATGTATTCCTTTTTGCAGCATCCATGTATTTTGTAATATACATATTGAAAAGCACAATCCATTTTTTTGTATGGATATATCTGAATAAAGATTGCAAAGCACAATCCATGAGCCAAGGTTTGCCAGGCAAAAAGCTACACCCCTTGCTGCGCTCTAATACTGAAAGACATGCTGTCAGCTCTTTTAATACATCCCCAAGCGTTGTTGTCCTTGCTCTTCCCAACTCCCTACCAGTGCTGCTGCCAATGGGCGTCTTTGCTGTAGAAACCAGGTATGGGCTTTGAAGCAACTCTCTCAGCAAGTTTTCAAGTGGTTTTCTGGGAAGGACACTGGCATTTCAGGGAAGCAATGGGAGCAACAGCATCTCCTACTCTCCTTGTAGAGAGGCATAAGGGGCAATTTCTTGCATTATATCAAGTTTCCATCCCATCTGAACCGGCATCTCCAGCTCAAGAGGCTCCCATGGAGAAAGCCTGTTTTATTTGCGTAAGTTGCATTAAGAGAATGACTTGACTTGAAAGGGAAACCTTAACTTCATTTTAAAATAGGGGGGTAGGAAATCCCCACAGCTATGCCAAGTTTAAGCACCTAAATAAACAATCTGAGAAGTGCTGTTTGCCGACAGCTCTTAGCGATCCTTACACAAAGTTCCAATAACCAGGAAAACAGGGACAATTACTCAGGAACCTCATTGCAGCCTCTGTTTCTTCCACATACAGACAGCTTCGAAGGGATTTCCACTCTGTCCTGTGAGCTGGCTGGGGCTGTGCTTCTATTTGAAGCCACAAAGGAGATGGATGTGCCTTGAAGTGAGCATCAACCCTTTTGAATGGGGACTGGGGCTCAGTTCACCCTTTGCAGTTCAGCCTTGCATTGCTATATTGGGGTGCAAAGTTAGATTTGCTATTAGGAATCATCTCCCAGATGCAACAACCCCAGTGCAAAGTCTCCCACAGGCCATTCTTTCCCAGCATTTTTGCCCATTTTTACTTTTTCCTCCTCTTTTTAACCTTTTTTCCTCAGGGAGGGGGATGTTGGCTGCACACTGTAATTCCCAGGGGACAAGGAGGAAGCACTCAGGTCACGTCAACTCATTCCAGCCTCTTCCAAATCTGCTGCAATGAAATTAATACAGTTTAAACATTCCCTGCGCTAATTGCTGACAACCACCATTCACACTGAAATAATTGGCTGTTTCCATTAGACTTTGGTGACACTGTCAGATTCTGCATCCTTTACGCTTCAAGCACTGTTAACAGAAAACGTGCATAAGATTTTTTGGGGTGTTTTTAATTGCAGTGAACACCTCCAGACAGCATTTGGGGCTGAAGTTTCCACTCCCACTCCTGCAAATCCCATCTTGGACTCCTCTCAGTAGCAGATCCTTTCTTTTACTGGCCTTGCAGTAGGCATCACTTTAAAAGCATCCATTTAAAAGCCTCTTTTTTTCCATGTAACTCAGCTGACACAATTACTGTACATGTGTTTCTGTCTTTGGAGGATACATATTAAAAATGAATGCAGTATCAACAGCAGGATTTGTGTTAGTGAAATAAGCATTTGGGGCTGCTTTTGCATGTTTACCAGCAAGATGCTTTTTGCTTTGCTGGCCAGAAGTCAAGGGGGTTTTTATCCAGGACATCAGCAGGAGAATGGCTGGAAGCTGCCCTGAGCTATGGTCTAGGATAGACTGATAGATACACACATATAAATATACATGTACGTATACCTCTGTCCAAGGACAGCCCAAGAAGATAAAGAGCATTATTAGATTAAAGTAACAATTCAAGACCTAGAGATGAGTCAAACTAGTATTTTAAAGAGCATCTCATCACCTTTGAACATTAGGTAGCTCCACAGCTTGGGATCCAAGACTCAACCCATCCCTCCTCCCAAGTCACTTGCAAAAGTTACGGTTTCCCCCTCTCAGCACATCCTTGCAAGGAATAGTGTGGAGGAAAAGCGCCTATCACCAGGGACAGGGCTGGGTGACAGCATGGAAACCAACGGCAGCCACTCAATAAAGCTTTTGGTTAGCTCAAAATACATTGGGATTTGCATAAAGACCCAGTTACTGCTGCTGTCCAGGATGTGCTGGTTCAGAACCAACATGTCCAACCTCTCCCTCTGACATCTGCACATCACAGTGGACTCACAGCAGCACAAAATAAACCCCTCACAGAATTTTCCCTTCAAGTGGATAAGTGTGAGGGCCTTTAATTTGTCCATTAGAACTTTAGCCCCATCCCACTACTGTGCATCTTGGCTACACCCCTGGGTACAGCATCTCCCATGGCACCATGCAATGCACCACCTCAGAGGAGCTGTTGGCCACCACCACTCGCTGCAGGGTGGGTGCCAGGCTGCTCAGCCACATGCTGCAGAGCCTCTTGGGCTAAAAAAGCGGATTTTGGCTCCACACATCTGTCTAATTTTAAAGAAGAAAGGTTTAGATTCCACCTCCTGCTTACTGCCCTGATGCTGCAAGCAAGTGAGCTGTTGCTCCTGGACATGGATACAGAAACTCCTTACTTTGGGTTAAAGTTTTCACCCAACAAGCACAAATCCTTATAAACACCATCTTTGAGCATTCTCTAAGTTAGACACCAGCTCGGCCTCAGTGTTTCCATATGGCTGCAGGACAGGACACCAGCCATACACCCCGATCGCACACCATCAACCGGTGGCCATGGGGCAGGACACGCAGAGACCATCTGCCAGCAAAGTTACCCCGTGTCCTGGCACTGCACACCCCCAAAAAGCATGACTTCCCTCATGTAAGATGCCCACTCACTCAGCCACCCTGTTCACATGCCGATGGAAAGAAAGAAAACCTGAC